CTCCAAGTTCTCTGTGTCAAATATGGCTGCAATGGGACTGCACTCCTCTGGCATCTCTGAGAAAGAACCGCTCCTGATCAGCGAGGAAGAACTCCTGACACTCAGCACTGTGGGAGAGCGAGTCACCGACTCATGCCGAAACACCTCATCAGTGCCGTTACGGCAGGAAATCATGTCTGCAAACTGCGTCAGGCTTAAACTGCCAGAACGGTACTGGTCAAAAAACTTCCTCTCAACCAGACCTTTATCAATAGCATCTTGGATGTCATACTGGCTACCTGTTTTTCTGTCGACAAGGACTACTCTACTGCTACCATCCGATCCTGTAATAGTTATTTCTTCCCACTCACACTCCTGTTCGGCTAGTTCTGTATAGGTGTCATAATCTATGAGGCCTTTGCTGTACGCCTCCTGCACAGACATTTCCCTGTTTGTTTCTGGATCTACAATGACAACCCGGCGCTTCCTAAGGGTGTTCTTCTGCGAGGTGTGCACCACCTTCTTCTTCTCTCTCAGGGGTAGAAGGCAGAGCCCTGTTGCATCATCCTTTATGCATCTTTCTTTCAGCTGCAAGTATGTCAAGTTCTCCTCTGTGTTGGGATCAAAGAACCCTTTGGTGTCATCACTTGGATCACTAAGGATCTGATTGAGCTCTTCATTGAAGTAGCCACGCTTGTAGGCTGTCTCTACTGGCAAGCGGTAGCTCTCTTTGGGGTCAATGATTCCTCCAGTAGCAATCTGGGCCTCCAGCAAACGAATGCCATGGCCTCTCTCTATGAGCTCTTTGTTCATTGCTTGAAACAGAGAAATGATGTTTCCAGTTTCGGGGTCTTTGTACCCAGTGACAGCTCTTTCAGCAGAGAGAAGTTTCTCTTTAAATTCAATTCCAACAAGGCCTCTTTTGTAAGCTTCCTCAACAGGCAGCCTCACATTGCTGACAGGATCCACTATGAACCCAGTGGCTGCCTGGGCTTCTAGGAGTTCAAGGGCCGTCCCTGGTCTAACCAAACCTATTTTCATAGCCTGGTAAATGCCAAGTTTCTCTTTAGTAGCTTCATTGTAAATACCCGCAATACAGCTAGAGCCCTGAAGGAAATCAATAATTCTCTCACTCACTTCTTCCACTGTAATTGCACCTCTTTCCAAGTCATTCCTTGTTGATTCCTTAATAATTCCAGCCTCCAGCAGTGCATCTGCTGAGACAGGCTGCCTGATTCCTTGGAATGACATGCTCCTCTTCTGCACTGGGAGGAGAAGCAGACCAGTGTGTGGCTCAATCCTACATTTTTCCTTCAGCTGCATGTAAGTGACTGCCTTTTTGGTGGTGGGATCAATGAAGTTCTTTGTAGTGCCCTGGCAGTTGTTTAGGATCCTGTACAGGTCTTTGTCAATCAACCCACGAGATAAAGCTATATCTTTGGGTAGGAAAACACTGTTGACAGGATCAACGATCCCTCCTACAGCCAGCTGGGCTTCAAGCAAACGAATCCCAGTTTCTCTGTCAACCAAGTTTTTCTTGATAGCTTCAGATACGGGCACGGTTTTGCCAGAGAAAGGATCTTTAAAACCTGTAATAGCCTTTTCTGCTGTATAGATTTGTTCTCTGTCATCAAACTCGATCAGATCTCTGGCGATAGCACTGTCCACCGTTAATATCTCATTTCGGTGTGGGTCTATCACACCTCCTGTTGCTGCCTGGGCTTCTAAGAGCAGGACTGCATTTTCTGCTGTAAGCAGCTGATTCCGTTTGGCCTCAACAAAAGAGTACTTCTGTCTGGGCGAAAGAGAGACCCCTGCAATAGCCCCTGCCCCTTTGAGGTAGGGTTCGATGTCAGCTGCGACTTCTTCCACTGACCTCTGCCCCTTCAGCAGTTTATCCAGTGTGAGTTTGTCTATCAGTTGACATTCATACAGCTGCATTGCTGTAATCTTCTTCCGCAGCCCACTGAACAGCAACTTGGAGGCATCAATACAAAAGTCTTCCTCAGTCTGTGTAGATCTGTGGGACCCATATGGGCGTTGCTTGAGTTTCTCAATTTCTCTTTGCAGCCTGAGACGCTCAGACTCCAACTCTGACTGGTTTTTGACAGCAGTCTCTTCCAGTCGGCACCGGTATCTCTCCTCGATCCGTTTGATCTCCATCTGCAGCCTTTCAATCTCACTCCTCAGGGTGTTCTTCTCCCTCTCACTCTTCTCTCTCTCACACTGGATCTTCCTTATGGATTCCTCTGTCCGGGAGTGCTGGCTCTTCCACTGATTGAGGTCATTCAGGATTTGTTGCTTCTCACTTTCCAGGCGTTGCTTCAAACGAGACTCTGATTCCAGGGTAACTTTCAAACGGTTCAGCTCCTCTTCCAATCTCTGCAGCCTGGCTTTGTCTTGCTCCAAAGCACTCATTTTTATCAGCAAGGTTTCTCTTTCTTGCATAATGTGACTATACTGATTTTTGGATTCTTGGATCCTATTGGATGCCTACAATTTTAAAGAAGAAATAAACCAGGAAAGGATGGTTAGAGTTTATGCTAGTTAGAGTTATGCTCTCCACTTAAAATGCTTTTCAGCCTGTCATTTAACCTGCAGCAAGCTGCCACTGGAAAACATTCTAGTCACAGCAGTGCCTTACCCAAGACCATGGATACACATAAACCAATGAAGGTACATTGTCGCTTCACTGATAGTGTCTCTAGTGCCACTGGACACTCCATTCTGTTACCCATAGCCTTGATTTTCTGCTGATTTAGTTAGCTCTTTATAACTTTTTAGCAGATCTCATATACACAGAGCATTCAAAACTCATTAAGAGTCTGATGCTCAGCAGATGTACCCTAGCATAATCCTACTAACCTGGGAGAATTTGTATCAGCTAAAGACTGGTCATAAATGGATAAAAATGAAATATATGACTTATTTTTCATTCCCCTATTAGTTTTACATGTTACTCCAAACAGTTTTACCTGTGTTGCTTTACAATTTAATTCACTTAATGTCTTCATACATGTATACATATACACAAACACCTACAAGCATGCACACTTCCATACAGTCCATATTAAATGGAATACAAGTTTATATATTTGTAATGCATGCATATATATATGCACAGATGTCAGATAATCCTAAATGTTAGTATTTTTAAAAAAATCAGTATTAAGATTTTTTAAGTAAAGGAAAGAAAAATTGAATAAAGGAAAGAATAGCTGAGAATGGGCATGAGAAAAGAAATATAAAGGGCAAGTACAGGAAAAAGCAAAGAAACATTTTCACAAGTGCTCACTTGTATATATTTAAACAGTATCTCTTTGGACAAGAAATCAGGCAGAAGAATAAAATTAAAAAAAAAGTTTTCTTTAACTTGTTTATGTTGTTGCCTCAAGTTTAAGCAACAAGGGCCAACAGTAAAATTTGCAAGTGCCCTTAGTGACTTTGGAACATAAATCCCCCAAACAGTCAATGAAATGTAGGCTTTAAGTACCTTAGGTACAGCTGACAACATCATCTTTAATCCTCACTGGTAGTCAACACCTTACCCAGCTAAGAAGCACTTTGACAGCGTGTTGGTTCTGGGGTTTTTAGCTGGTTTAGTTTGTGATAGCACTCAGGTCTGCCTCAAAGAACTGTTTTAGCCCCTTCTGACTGAAACAGCCTGGGGAAGCACACAGCCAGCAGGGTACAGCTAAAGCACAGTGGTACTCCATCTTCTCCCAGGATGATTTGGGGGAGACTGGTTCAGACCCAGGGTTTCTCCCGGGGCAGAGGCTGAGGGCAAGGCTCAGCAAGACAATAAGACAGCTTATGGCTCCCTATCACAGCTCCCAGGGAGTAAAGAGGCTAGGAAAGTGGCCAAATCCTGCCATTTTTGTTTAAAAATGAACAAGAAGGGCCGTAAAGGGGATATTAGTCACAAGTACAGCAAACTAAACAGCAAAGTGTGAATTAAGTTGATTCAAACGGACACTGCAATTAATTATGTATCTGAGAGACAGTAAAGCTGGGATCAAAATATGTGTGAATACCTCTAGAGCTTGCTTTTGGAATTTTTCAATTTCCTGTCTCAATTTTTCCCTTTCTTTCTGTAAATCATTAATCAACCCCTGAAGTTCCAGGGTTTGCTTGCTGCTCGTCTGAAGCTGATTCTTTAGTTCAGCAATGGCAGTATTTTTCTCATCAACTTCACTTCTGACCATTCTGAGATCATCGTACTCCAATCTAACATTTCGTAGCTCTTCCTCCAGTAACAAGTGTTCCTTGGTTAGGTTCTCGGTGAGAGACTGAAGCCTTTCAATTTCTATTTTGCACTCATTCAAGTTTTTGCTTTTCTCCTCAGAGGTTTTCTGTAAGTGCTCATATCGTAGGTGAGCCTGTTTTAATTGCTCCTGTTCTTGGACCAACTGACGGCGTAAAGTCTCAATATCAGATGTGTATTTTCTTATCTCCTCCATGTATCTCTGCTTCTCTCTCACATGACCGTCTAATACTTCTCTTTGGTGTCTAAGGTCATCTTCATTTCTCTTCTTTACAATAGACACTTCCTCTATCTGCTGTGTGAGATTAGTTATTTTAACCGATTGCTCTCTGAGAGATCTCCTCATTCCTTCTATTTCCTCCTCCAATTTCTTCCTCCTGGACGTCTCCTCCATTACGTTTTTATTCTGCCTGCAAAGTTCCTCTTCCAGCTTATGTTTCTGGATTTGCAAGTCTTTTACAGTGCTCTGGAACTTTGCACTTTCTTGATCCCTCCCTTTTTTCTCTTGCGAAACTCTTTCATAGTCAATTTTCAGTCTGGCCAGTTCCTGCTCTTGGATCCTCAGCTTGTTAATTGTCTCAGTAGCACTCGTGTTTGCTTTCTGCAGGTCAAACTGGACTCTCTTTAACTGACTGTTCTCATCCTCTAGTTCTTTTCTCTGACTTGTTTCTACATCCAACAACTTTCTCAGCCTTTCGATCTCTTTGTTTCTTTCCTTAATGGTCTTAGAAGCATCATCAAGTGACTGTTTGTACCGCATGCTTTCATCAGAGTGCCTCTGAATAACTTGTTTTAGCTCAATCTCCAGCTGCTGTTTCTTCTGAGAAAGCTCTGAGCCAGCTGCCTTCTGCTGCTGAGCATTCTCCTCTATTTTTCGTAGGTTATCTGTTGTCTGACTTATTGTATTCTTCAGTCTCCTAATTTCCTCACACAAATTTCTATTTTCTCTCATGGCATTATCAAGCTGTGTTCTATAATTATTTGTGTCCTCTTCCTTTTGCATCGTGACCTGGTGAATTGTGGTCTTTGTGATATTAATCTCAGTTTCATATTTGTTCTTTAAACTAATAATTTCCTCATCATAACTGTTCCTTACCTTAGCCAATTCATTCTCAAGTTCCCATCGGCTTTTAGCCTCTTCCTGAAGCTGAACCTTTAGCCTTTCCAGCTCCTTACTTTTATCCTGAATAGTTGAGGCAGCCTCCTCAAGAGCCTGCTTGTATCTTGAGTTGTCTTCACCACGAAGCTGAATGATCTGTTTCAGCTCCAGCTCTAACTGATGCTTTTGCTGTGACACCTCAGAACTGCAAGCCTTGTGCTGAAGAGCATCTTCTTCTGCCCTCCTCCGTTGATCTGTGGTTTGCAGAATGGCATCGTTCAGCCTCACAATCTCATCCTTAAGGTCTCTGTTTTCTCTTGTCAGTCTGTCAACCTGGGCTCTGAGGCCTTTTGCATCATCATCTTTCTGTGCAGCTATCTGCTGGATTGTGGTCTTCTTAATATTAATTTCTGTTTCATACTTGTTCTTTAAATTACTCATCTCCTCGTTAAACTGGTTTCTTACCTTAGCCAGCTCATTTTCATATTCCCTCTTCCGTGTGCCTTCGTCCTGAAGAAGAACCCTTAATCTTTCTATCTCGTACTCCTTCTCCTTGATGACCTTCTCAGACTCTAACTTTTGCCAACCAAGGCTGTCTTTCTCGTTTTGTCTTGTTTTCTGCAGCTGGTCATAGTCATTCTTCTGCTGCTCATATCTATCCTCCAGCAACTTCCTTTTCCTTTTCTCATCTTCAGTCTCATAAGTCAGCCTGGTTATTCTGTCATTTAGATCCTTTATTTGAGCATAGCATTTGTCCAGGTTTTGCTTAGCAGAATTTCCATCCATTTCAGCTTGTCTTTTCATCTCCTCCAAACTCATCAGCTTTGCCTTCAGCTGAGAAACGTCCATCTGATACTTCTGCAGATTTTGCTCCAGGAATTTATGTTTGTTGTTTGTCTCTGAATTTGAATCCCTGGCAAGCCTAAGTTCTTCTTCCAGAAGTTCAATTTTGGTGTTTTTCATCTGCAAAATGATAGCAGAAAAACAAACAAACAAAAAACCCACATAAACATTTGTCTCAACTGTTTCAAAAATCATCACATGTAACACAATATACATTTGTAACACTGAGAACTTACAAAACTTTCTTTTTTCTGCTTCAGTGAGAGCTCCTTTTTTATTTAATGTTATCATGACAAATTCTGGAATCCTTAATTATTCAGAGTCAAACCTTATTCAGAAATCAGCATAATGACTTTCAGAGGGGAAATGGTACTTGGCGGGGTGAGGGAGATGCAATACAGATAGTAAAATCTGATGTACCACGAGTTTACCAGCAAAGTATTAAATAGCCTCATTTAGAACCTCCACAATTTTCAAACAGGTGAATCCCATTCCATATATGTGACCTCTTAAATGGGCCTCTGTTTCCACTGAGTTGAATCAAATCAGGAGTTACTCCATTTGAAACACCGTAGATATGGCCTGAAATTATGTGTGGCCCCTTAATCAAGAGGAGCAAGTTTTCAGCACCAAGATAACTGTGCTCTCACTGAGGTCAAGGTTCTGATGGGCAGAGAAGGACCTCTTGCGTGCTTTGATGACCACCTCCTAATTACCGAGAGGGCTAATGTTCTCCACCTCACACATGACCTTGAAGGTAACTTTGCAAGATACTGTACTCTTTAACAAAAGATGCATGAAACTACTTATATGCCTCCTTCATGGGAGACCACTGAGCTCAGGATTTAATTCTGTGGACTGTTTTGCACTGTACTTAAGCAGAAAATATTTGATCAGTGATAACTTGCTAACGCGTGATAAAAATAGAAGGTAAAGAAAATGAAAGAGTCAGATTACCTTCAAGTCCTCCATGCTCTTTAACATTTCACTTAAGAATCTGTAATAATCTCCTGATCTTGTAAGAAGCTCTATGTAGCGAGACTGAGCCTCGCTAGCCTTGAAAAGAAAGAGTATTGTTAGCTGCTTGTACTACAGAGTTAGATAGGAACGCACCTATATCTCAGATCACTTAAAGGATTCCAATCCACTTGAGAAAACATATCACTTGACAAAGTAAAAAGCAAATTCCCCTCCTCACAAATTTACATGACTTTCTGGGGACCCCAAATGTATAAGTTCTCCCTTCCGGTAAACCTACACCTTCTTTTTCAAGATTATTTTCCTCCACGGCTGCTGCAATGTTAAATCCAAGGCTTCGTCCCCTGGTTCATCATGCTCTTCCTGTCTGACAGTCACAAGTAACCTAAGTTAAACTTTTAATAGCGGTTAATTCCCAGGTTGAAAGTGACTAAACCACTTGGAGCATGAATCTTACTTTCTCACAATATGTATGCAATGGACGTTGAATAGGAATGAGGTAAATTCCTGAGGGCTAATCTACTGTCTAAATTAGCCCAGGTATGATTTTACAGAACAGTGACTATTCTGCACTAATTCCTTGTGCTTACATGCTTAGTACACATTACCAATGACGGTGCTAATTATTAGAATACAGCTGGCTATGACTCACAATGGCTCACATGGACAAACAAATGAATTCAAAAGACTGATAGGGAGGGAAGAAAGATACCTCTTGCAGAATCAGCACTGCAGGAGACTGAACCACGCACTTCTTGATAGGTATGTTGAGCAATGTTTCTAATCCAGAACTGTAGGAAGCAACTTGTAGTTCATAATCCTGTAAAACAACAGGGAAAGGTAAGACCCATTTAGCAACTGCCAAGGATCTCTCTGGCAATCTGCATTTCCCAAAATGTGAATAAAGTTTTGGGGTTGTTTTGTGTTGGGGTTTTTTTTGTTTTGTTTGTTTGTTTTTGTGGGGTTTTTTTTAAATGAAAAGCTACCTTTTCCTTGTTTATATCTCTGGCCATGTACAGATGAGCCCGTATCATAAACAGAAGCTCATCAATTCAAGTACCACTGTGGAGACTCATAGAGGAGAATGACAAAGGGAAAAAGAGAAAAAAAATTTTACAAAAAAGGGAAGATGCATTTTTCCATCAGTTGATGGCTAACCCTAGGTGAAAAAGATTCATGGGATCAACTGGTCTGGGTACTGTTATCAACCAAAACTTCATCAGAAATAACTGTCTCTGTATTTCTTTCATATCACATACACCACACCATGTATATAGCAAGATCTTTGTCACAGAAAGTAAGATTGAGCTGGAGAAAGCATGGATATAAAGATGACAAAACTGCCAAGACCACAAAATCATTCCCTTTATATCATCTTGGTTTTCATGGCTATTGAACACCATTCCTCCTGCTAATCTGCATTTGTCTTGCCTCCTAGACCAGGTCCTAATCAGACCTAATTTCTAAGCTACTAATCTCTTCTCTACTCCCTTGATTTTTTAACATGTGAACTGGAAAGTGTGGTCTGGCTAGAAGGAGGCTTTGATTCTCCTGAAGAGAAGCTCTCACTGGTATCTCCTGCATCATTCTGTGGTCTTCAGGTGACAAGTACACAAATTGCTTTCATTATATTTTTGTACACACAAGTGCTTCACCCCAGCAATTTCTGCACACACACACCAGGGAGCTGACATTTCACCTGCCAGGAGAGTAGAGACAATGGGATGAGCCTGACCATGAAAAACCACACCCCATAAAAATGCTGAAATCCAAGTACCTTAATTGCAGCTGAGCACTGATCTGCGTGCTTGAGAAGCTCCTCAACTTTGTCTCGCTTCCCACAGATTTCATTGTGCAAGTTCTGTCAAGAAAAAAGTGAGCTGTGAAGAACTCCCTCAAGATTCGCCAGTATCTCCTCCTGTACATGTTGCCTCCATCAGAAGGCACCAGATGAGACCACTGCAACCCCAGAGGTTTAGACCCAAATGGTAGCTGCGCAGTTTTTACACTGGCAAGCTTCCTGTGCATGAGAAGGTTGTTCTCAGCAAGAACACCTAGCAACTGAACAACCCCCAGGGCTGAGGAGGAAAGTTCCTTGACTTTAGCTTAGATGTATTTCGTCACTTTTTATTTTTATGGTATAATTTGTCCCATAAGTTGCACCATCACACAGTCCCTTGAATTAATTCAAAACTGGTATGTGTAAGTGTCAGTGATCATGCAGGAGCAAAAAAAGAGTCTTGTTCATAATCTATAGCAGTGCTGACAAAGTAATGAGGATAATATCCTCTCTCCTGCCTTCTACCCATGTGGTGTTTTTTGGTAGCTTGCGTACTTTATAATTCAAAACAGGCCACTGTACTGTAGGCTGCATTGATACTGATATTTTCTGAATAGCAAAACAATTTAAAATCCAGGTTTTTGAAGACAACTCATTCAGGTGCTGAATACCTTCTGATCATGTAGATATCTCATGATAGCGTTGCAATCGCACAGCTTCATGGACTCAATAGAATCCTGCCTGCGCTTGGCATCACAGATCCATTTGCACAGAGCCTGGTAGAGATCTCGGTAAGTTTTCAGCTGTTTGATCTGCCTTTCTAAATCCCATGATCTAGAGAAAAAAAAACAAAAAACCAACAAAGAAAATTGTCAAAATGGAAAGTGCATTCTCTTTGTCTCTCTTTAAACATTTTTCAGAAATAAGACACGGTAATAAACTATGTAAAACTATGGGAAGCTCTAAAAGGAGATTCTGAACAAAAATTTCAAATAAATGACAATTGTCCTGGTCATTAGTCAGCCAACATGGGGTTTTAGTGCCTCACTTTTGAGGAACTCTGAAATACACAAAGGCTGCCACTTCCTGTCAACTGAGGGATGGATAAAACCTTGCAGTTATAAGAGTCAAGTTCACTGACTTCAGTATTCTTGTTCTCAATTTTCACCAAAACCACTAGTAGCCAGCCAATTTTTATTACTAGGACTAGATTTTGGCCTGAAGTAAAAACAAAACAAAAACACACCACACCCCAAAAAAAACCCCACAAACAATCAGAATATGCCTTCAGTAAAATAAAGCATTAGAAAAAATAATTGTGGGATTTTTTTTTACTTAATTCTTAGTGTTAATTTTTTTACTGTCAGGTACATGGTATTCAGGAATCAGCATGGTTGCTTTGTTTGAGGGGGAAAATGCTGACTGGAAGTACTTAATCCAAGAACATTAGCAAGAATTAAAAAAAATAATTAGAACAACTGCTTAGCACATAGGTTATACATTTTCACAAATAACTACATTTTCCTGCTTGGCCTTACACAATCCCTTTTAAAGTATGTTCAACCTATTCACAGTTGCTCTAGTCTTACTGCCCTGAGTCATAATTTGTCCTTTGGAAGTGATGAGTAGTGCACATCAGTTCTTTTAGACTCACTGTTAAAATTATCTTAGTAACAATAGCAATAAGGAAGAAGCTATTAGAAAATATGATCAAACCTGTTATCTATCTGCTTATCAGCTCTCTGCCAGCGGTCTATTAGCTGGGTAACTTTGTCACAGAATTTTCCAATGTCCATGTCATACAGGGTATATGACTGGCAAGACTGTGAGTGAATCTGAAGCGTTTTCTGTAGCTCATTTTCCAGGGCATTCAGTAGTGATTTCTTCATGTTTAGGTCTGCTTTCATTTTCTAGAGAAAAACAAAAATGCTGTCATATGTTGATGGTTAAATTCCTCTCAAGAATAAAACAATAGGCACAATGTATTGGGATCTAAAGATTTTGTTTCTGATTCAGTAAGGTATGTACACTGATGTCAGCAGGACTTAATATATTTAAAGTGAAACACCTACTTTGGTAGGACTTTAGAATGTGTTGTTACACTCAGTCTTAAATAATTTGCTAAACCAAAGCCCTCTGCCATCATATTTTGTAGCTAAGATTTCCATTTCTAAGAACTATGTAGAGTAGTTACAAAACAAAAAAAAAAAACAGGGCAGAGCCTGCCTTACTTGTTCATAGAAACAATTGACTAGAAAATTTCACTGAAGTATAAAAGATTCCTGCACTTGCCATAGCTGTAGAATCAAGCCTCAGGATTGGCATATCTAGTTTTTAAATGTTACCTAAAAATCGGCACATATTTTTTTCCCCTGTTTACATTTTTATAAACATATTGCATGGAGATGTTTCCTTACACACACACTTGTTTGTGTGTACATACTGGCATACTGTGGGGTATCGCCTAATGGCGTACGTAGTGCAGGCGGTGGTCTGCCTTGCATCACCTAGTCGCAGGGATGACTGCATTCTTTGGTAATATGCTCAAGCATTTTTTTTGTGTAGCTCAAATTTACACCAGCTAAGAACAACTCCCAACAACTCAACTGCAGCTCTCATTTAACATGATAAAATGGTAACCTGTTTGTGCTCCATTTGTGCCACCTACACACTTTTTCCCTACTACACCTGAGAACAGGAAAGAATGAAAGAGTCCCTATTCTCCCAAAGTGCATAAAAGGACCGGCTCAATGCCAGATAAAGACTGGTTCTGCAAGCCAACTTTGTGCTCAGCAAAGCAGTTACTCTGCCTTCTCCCCTTGTACAGGATGGATAGTTCTCACTCTAAGATTTGAAATGGACTCTATGGCAAAACCAGGACACGCAATAACCCTCAAATTTACTTGTTACAACTAGATGACAAGGCCAATTAACAAGTCTTTTTGCAAGAAAAGAGGTATTTCCTTCAAATCTAGCTTCATAAATGATACAAATAAACACAGATAATTTTGTACAGAAATGGGTTACGGAGACCTTCCATGCCACTGGCTTTTCTGTGGGGGGATGGAAGTAGTAATGCATAAATTCCTTCTAATAATTTGCAAAAGCATCATATGTCTATGTCATAAAATACAACAGGATCCACATTTCCATCTCCTGTGGTTTCAGAAAGGTTTCACCCAGTTCAATAGCCCAGTGCTGGCAGCTATCAGTTTTGGCTTGCTGTGTCCTTGGGTCTTGGCCTCTCACCTTCAGACAAGCCCGATAAGCCTCCACTTTATCAAGATCCAAAGGAACAGTCTCCTCTTCAGAAAGCCTGACTTCAAAAACTCTGATCACATCTTCTGTTTGTAGAATAATCTGGAGCAGACACCTCAGTGCATTCAAGCTAAAACAAATAATACAAGACAAAATCTGTTATGGACTGGGCCAGGAAAGGTGAAATTTCTAGTTAATTGCAGATCATTAGTTAAAGAGAATAGACAATACAGAAGAAATATCAGTGTTTTCTTACCTGTCTAAGTAGCCAGTTTTTTTTTTAAAGTCGTCCAGAAAAGGGAAGAAGTTAAGATAAGTGTCTGTTTCTACCCACATGTACAGCATTTGTAGGAAAGAAGGTGTAATTTTACACTACTGGTGACAAAAGGCAGGTTTCTAGACTAAGAATTATGGAAGAAAGTAAATGATTTATTGCTATGAACTCCATTTTCTTACCTGTCTAAGTAGCCAGCAGAAACACCATTAATATTTTCCAGTTTTTGAAATAGGGCATTTATCTCTGACTGCAAGTACACATACTTTTCACAGCCTCTGAAGTTAGGCAGCAAATCCTTATGCTTATTGAGGGTTTCAGCCATTATTTGAGAGTCATTCTGCACACCCTAAGGAAAGAGAATGCCCGATTTACACATTTTTGGTGGCTGAATGATCATTCTACAGTACATATGCAATTGGTCTCCTTATCCAAATAGTCCACTGTTATCTAACCAGCCTGACTGAGGACTGAACCAGTGTCAGAGCCTGCTTTCTTCAAGGTAAGTAACATTGGGCAGTTTCTTTTCTGCACAGTCCACAACAGGCAATACCTCTCTTTGAGCACCTCATCCACTCTAAAACAGCTCTGTTGAAAGCAGAGCGCTTCACTGCCAGCTGCCTACTGCACTCAGTAGACGTGCAGAGGTCCTGCTGCTCTTAAGACCTTTGCAACCTCATTGCCTCAGGGGAATTTCTCATATACTGAACCTGTTCTCTTTTCTTACTAATCTTCTCTCCAGTCTCCTTCAAATCTTAAAAACTGGGAGAGGGAGTTTGTAAGCCTCATCTATCCACTCTGCATCCCACAGACAGCACTTCAGAGGTAGGTGGCAAAGTGGGGTCCATGCAAGGATATTAATAGTGCTTTAACCTGGATGAGGCCTAACATGAGCTCATGTCCACTTGACAACACGCTTTCTGTATTCTTTGCCTGACAGAATTTGACTTCTAAAATCCAAGAGTCAACTTTTTCTACATAGGAGCTAAATTCCAATTCAAATCATCACGGTTAGCTTCTAATTGAGAATTTTCTGCTCAGGATGTATGTGTTTCCCAGCTGATCAGAAATACAATAGCAACATGCTCTGCAACACTGAGCATCTGAAGCTCAGTATGACTCTAAGAAAAGCATCCACAGTTACCTCTAAGTCCTTTATTCTGACTGAAAAGTCATGCACAGCCCCTTGATCCACTCCAAGAGGAGCTCTTTGAACCATCCGAATCTCAGAAGCTTCAATCTGACGCCGAAGTTTCTGGAGCTCCATCAGCAGCCAGGCCTCTTGCTTCTCATGTTCTCGGTTTCTCTCATTAACGATAATAGTGTTTGAGGAACCCAGAGGACAGGTCTCAGTTGGGACCACTGTAAAATGAATTGGATAAATGTCAACTGCAAGAGAACTGAGCACCTCATATATAAAGCCAATGCAGTGCCAAAGTGACATAAGCACTGATTTGATCTGTAGAACTGAGACCAGGTAGAAGATCTGAGCCCTTAGGCAGCTGTTTCGAGTAATGAAATCTCCCCTTCACAAAAAGAGAAATTTGTTTCGTCAAATGCAGCAGTGAAGTTTTGCTTCCTAATAACTGAAAACATAACAGATGGACTAATTACTCTCATTTTCCCAGCAAGTTCCGTGAACTTCAGAGGACTATTCCCAGATTCACACCACAGGAAGGAAGAACAAAACATACTCTTCCCTGCACATGGCCAGTTTTGTTATGTTGGAAAACAGCAGCACAATTCTTGAATATGTTTCCATTCATACATTAATGAGAACATTTTCACATAAAAAGAATGCACCACCACCCCCCAAAGAAATCCAAGCAGTACAATCTCTAAAAAAAAAAAAACCCCGAAGGATGACAAACCTGTTTGTGGCTGCCTTGGTTGATTGGGCAGCTGTATAATCAAGGTTTGGTAGTGCTTCTGAGCATCAGTAAACTGAGACTGGATCTTCCGCTTGTCTTCATCACCAAACATCTCTGAGCCTTGGCTGTTCCTTAGGAATTCTTGATAATGGATCTCCAGGTCAGTTATTATTTTTTGGTAATCTTCCTTACGCATAGTTTTCAGCTGAAATGAGGAAGAAGAGAATTTTGAAAAAAGAAGCAATTGGGGAAGGTTTGTGACTAGGTAATCATAAGGAACAAACTAATACCCCTATAGAAAAAATACAAAGGAATCGTATTTTAAAATAAAAACTACCCAGGCTGCCTCTAAAATTACAGTGCTAGAAGTGCCCTCTGAGCTAATCTATTCTTGTTATAGCCATTTCATAAGTTCAGAATAGTTTGAAATTCTACCTCTTACTCTGCCTATCCATTCCCTTGCACAGCGGGAACAAGTACAGCAAGTATGCAATAAATCTCCCTAGCTAATTTTCCCATTTATCCCTATCATGTTTGAATGTGAAAGCATTTTGCTTCTCCTTTAATAAAACAACAACTTCCATATATAACTGTGCAACCCAGCAAAAGGAAGGCCCACGGTTTTGCAGAATCTACATCTGCACAGGACAAAGCAAGCACTGTTCAGGACACCAGAGGTCAGGTCACTGGATGTTCCCAGTCTACAGGTAAAGCCAACTGGAGTCTTACCTTGGCAATAGTCATCGCTCTGATTTTCTCAATGTCAATCATGCAATAATGCCAAGATACCAGGCTCTTCATGTTGATATACAGCTGGTTCCACAAAGCTAAAATAGCTTCGTAGTACTGCTCAATTCTGAGATGAGAAAAGAAATTTCATGGTCAAAATGTGTTTGTCCTTGTAGCATAGCTACAAAACAGCCCAAGAAATATCCACCAGATATGGAGTGTGTTAAGGCTTGTTGTCTACTAGAAAAAAAACTTGGAAATTAATTTATTCATGACTTACATTATTAGAGATGAGAAAAACCTTATAAAAGTTAAGTTTTAAATATTTTTAGATCCCAGCCTAAATCCCAACAAGCTTCACTTAAGTAAATTTCCTCAAACAAGGGTCTAGTCCTTAATCCCCGCCCTCTCCCCCACAGAGTGCAGGGGCACTCTGATCAAGGCACAGACCAGATTTTGTGGTTGGTTGCTATTTTGAGCAAAGTCATTCTATTTAATCCCCGTGGTAAGTGTCCAAACCCGGGCAGCAACTCACTTGGTAGCAAGATCCACTGCTAATGGATTGGGGGGTGGGATGATAAGACTAACAGATGGCACCAGCATATCCACTCCTCCGGGGCCAGTCACCAGCCACTTGCTGCGCTCGTTATTGTCCTTCAGGATACATTCATCTCCTTTGCGCACTGTTTTCTGTAAGGAATGCAGAAAAACATTTTTTTCTTTAGTTAACTAAGATGGGGTTTCTAGGAGAGACAGACAAGGAAGATGCATCTAGATCACAGAAGTGGGACTGTTTCTCAGCTGCCAGGTTTGGGTGTGCATCTTGGCTTCATACCAGGGCAAGAGACCAACCCCTTCTCCCTGAATCTGGTTTCCATGTGAAGAAAACCCAAGAAAACCAAGGGGGAGCCACAGAACACACTGAGCAGTTTCCAGTCCAGTTGACCATCAAACTTGGGGCTTGCCATTACAAGCCTCGAAGGCCAAGCATGGACACATGGCCACAGTAAGTTATGCAAACATGTATGGCTGTAAGCCAGTGAGCTGGGGGTGTAAGGATGCTTAGCGCTGCCTCCATATTTGCGAAGAGACTGGGAGCAAGTGCAGCAGAACTAGATCCACTAGACCCAGCCTCCAGAAATCCTGACACCCTGCAGCCATGGGTGTGGCCATGGTGCAGGTTAAAACTCAGTAATATCCAAGAGGGGGAAGCTCCTCCTATCATTTATCCTGACGGGACTCTCTCATTCCATCACACCTCTACAGCCAGCAGATAGATTTTTGATAGAACTAGTAAAAGGCCACAGGATTTGCATTGACCTGACCACGCAGGGGCTCCAGACTTGTCTGGGCTTACCTTCACCTGAGCAGAAATTAGCATGCTTAACTCTAAAAGCAATTGCCAAGCAGTCAGGTAACCCTTGTCTAAATTTGTTTAGCTTTGCTTATAGTAGCAACAAGTCCTGAACTTCTGTGACTCTGGAATAAAAGGTGGTACAGAAGACCACAGACACAGAGTGGATAGCAGAAACCCCAGACCATAAACACAAATCACAGTGGTCAATTACTGGTCACTGCAGGAGTGCAATGTAGTGAATCAGGTAAAACGAGTTTTACAGATAACAGAACAGGAAAACCGGATAGTTGAGAACCAGTGAAGAGAAAGAGCACATAAGCAGAAAATGCATCTAAGCAGACTATTAAGAAAAAAAAAAGAAAAAAAAAAACAGAAATAAACTTAGGTAGCCCCAGTACTGAGAAGGAAAAAGACACAACCATCAATTTCATACTCCATCCAGCAAAAAACTCAGGATACCAATGACTTATTGTACATTCCCTCATTTTGTTAGATCAAGTGTTGACCTAAAGACCCAGACGGACACTGGAAGGGTGAGCAATCACCAAAAGAAAGGGGTAGATGCTGGGAAGCATCTGTATAACAACCTTAACCAAATTATCAATGAAACTTCTCTGTGCTAATTTGAACTATGAGTATTAATGCTATTTAATGGACTGATAACAATCATTTTGACCAAATTTATTAACCAACCAGAACCTAGCTTGTTCATTCTTAATTGCATGAAAGTCAGACCTTTTTCATCCAAGAAATTTAAATGCTGATGAAAAGCAAAGCGGTTACACCTATCAGCTCAACAGTTTGTTTACTAAATCATTTGCCATGTTCTAGTTTACATGATGTTCATTATCAGCCAAAAAGGGATACAGTACCAGATCCTGCTTGTAGTCACACAGAGCCTTGAGGATAATGGGCTTGTTACTCCGGTAGTCTGGGTTACGTGGCTTCAACTGCACAATCTTCTTGGATTTATTCACCAAACTCTGCACTTGCCTCTTGTATTCAAGAATTCTCTCTCGTTCATTCTGCAAAAATTAATTAGATGTTAAAAAATTCATTCTAAAAAGAATTTCCTAACAACAAAAACCAAAGTAGTAACTACTCTCTCAAACCTGACTTCATCAACTGCCCTTTTACATCACTGACCATTTTCCTCCAGTATATTCAATTTGGAACTGTACGATGAGTAAACAGTTACCTTAAAAAGCTACAAGTTAAGTCCTTTCAAAGAGACTACAGTGATAGAAAGTGGCACAATGAATCATTATTAAATGCACTTATCCTTTGAGGCAAAATCTATTGTATCACCTCTGAATGAAAGTCTTTCCTTTTTTAAATTTTTTAGCACGTCAGAAACTTGGGAATTTGTTGGGCTCATTCCAGATTTACAAAGAAATCAAAGTTCCCAAACAGTATTACACAAATGAAAATAACACCGATCTATTTGTAGGCTTTCCTAAGAAATGGGCAGGAATGTACCATTATGGTTTCAAGTTCATACAGTCCTGTACATAAACATTGCAGTACACCTGAGTTTACATTTGGTATCTGAAGAGGGCAACTGATTACCAAGAAAAGCAGAACATAACCTGTCAGGTGAGTGTGACAGTACCTCCAGCTCTTTGATCTGCTCCAGCAAAGACTGCAGTGACATGCTCTTATCACAGATGAACTTCTTTCTGATGGAGTCTTGTAAGTTTTTCAGGTAGCACTCTGTGGCTTGGGCCTCTTCAAAGAACTACAGGAGAAAAGTTGTGATTTCAGATGTACACAGCTCTTAAAAATGTCTGATAAAAATCAATTCCCAGTACACATCTGGCAGAATGTTAGCATTTACAGTATGGTAACAGTGAGTTATGGATTGTGCATGGATTTCAGTACAGAAAAAAATATCTGTGATGGGATTACACTTTTAACAAAAGTAGTGTGAATTCTCCACATCACTACTCACCTGGAAGTAAGCCGCATTCTCTTTCAGATGAACATCAATGCATTTGGTGATCTGAAGAATCCAGCTCCACTGGGTTTGTAATGTATCCATGTAGGCCTAACAAAAATAGTAATATACAGAACTCAAACCACCACGTTGATCTCCCTCCCATACCTAGACTCAAGCAAAACTATTTATGCTCCACATAAATGCAAATGAAAAATCTGCTAAAACAAATTCATGCACACCGGAATAATGTAATTCATGCAAATAGTTGCCCAACTTCTAAGCATCTACCTAACTGAAAAGATTTAAATACCTGCTTGTGGGATGCAGAGAGAAATTTGTTCATGACTTGAATTTTGTTTGATCAGCATAAAGCCTGAAGTGCATGAACAAAAAGGGGTGAAATGCACAAAGAGTAGTGCAAATAAAATATTTCAATTGCAAATTGTCATATTCTTCTTCCAAGGAAGACTGTCAAACATGATTTTTTAATGATTAATATTTTTTAATTCAAACTTCTCAAGTACTCCTCATGTATATTCTTTAGAAAATTACACACAACTTTTACTTCGCTGCTGGACCTTACAAGGATCTTTCCTTTAAGGCAGAAACTGACCACAGAAGAAATATGAATGGTGATTTTACACAACATGATAACAGTTAACAAAGTAAATACACTGAAAAGCAGAAAGGACTCCTTTTTTTCCCCCCTATTAGCTTCTTTCAGTTTCAGGGTTCTTATGCACTCTCAGAACTATAACAACTCCAGCATTTCCTAGTAAAATAAGATTTTCTAAATTGTTGCAGACTTTGTAATTGAAAGGTAAATATACACCAAGATGTGAAGGCAAAAATGTCTTGGCTAAGCTGTAGAAATGCACTATGAATTTCAGTTGCAGAAAGTACTTGCACCTGGATTAAATATAAACCCTCAAAGGGTGTGGCTTTCTTCAAATCATGCCTACTAAGATAGCAGAAGAACAACAACATGGCCTTTCTACCATAAATTCCACTGCACTGTAGTCAACTCAAACAAGACAGAGCAATTTCAATACATCAGACAACTCCCTAAGCCTCGTATTAATTTTTACATGCAGCTATCATCAAATTTGATAGCAATGAGAGCTCTACCCATAGCTCTTAAGAGCCTGCAGTTGTTGTGGCCAGGTTTGCAGAGGAAGGCAGTAACATTTATTAGAGCAGCTCAGAGCTGGATAAAAATGGACATGCTTTTTGTCAGGCAAACCCTTCTCAGGTCCAAATGCAGCACTTCATTTGCAGACTTTCACTGAGAACTTTTCCCATACCGCAACTAAAGGAGCAAGTGAAATCATGCAAAGTATAACTCACCTCGATTTTGTCTGATGCAGGGTGCTGGTTGAGCACTAGCTGGTCACTTTCTTGCTTTAGCTTGTTGAGTTCTTTTTCTTTAAGCTCCAGTTCACTCATGCGTTTCTAAACAACCAAAACACAGCATTAAACAAGCCCCCCAGGATACACTCACAGGATTACTGACTTAAAATCTTCCAGATAGTTGTGATAATGTAAAATTATGCCTGCTAACACTACATAGTAATTCTACTCAGTGTACTGAAGTTAATTATGAAGACAGCAGAATCAAAGAAGAAGGTATAATCATCTCAGTCCTAGTCTCTAGGCTTGCCGCTTCACAGAGCAAAGCATCCAAAGCGCTGCCTTTCGTAGGAATGATGGAAGCAAAAATGACTGCATCTTACAACATTCAGAACAACTGAACTAAAAAAAAATAAAAAGTAATTTCCTTAATAGTGTCAACTTTCATTCCCTTTTCAATTTGCTGATCAGCACCAATATTGGTTAAAGAAACATACATGTTCAACTTCCCTACATATCCACAGAAGACAGGGAGCAGTGCAAACTACCTCTGACCATCAGCTCAGTGCGCTGCTGGCAAAATCATCAGAGGAACAGAGCAGTTCCCTCTGGTATAGCTCTACTTCCTGGTGAGAGACAATCAGGGCCAAATACGGGGTCCCCCTAACCCCTACATAGTCCTAACAGGGAGAATTAAACTGCTTGATTCAAGTCCCTTAGTTCAGCATGCCAACATAATGACTGTGTGCACAATTTACATGCGATTACTAGTCCACAGCAGACTACTGATAAGGCCAGCTTCCAAAGGCAAAAGAAACCATGACAACTGGTTGAATGGGAGCACAATCTTCCACTAGATGTCCAATCTTGACTCAAAAGGTTGTCACACAGTACTTAATCCAAAAGTGTTGATAAAAATCCCCAGGAACTTGTAAAGAGTGCAGAAATGCCTGTCCTGTGATCAGTTCCCTTGAGGCAGGCTGTTCCTCCCTCACTATCCCAAAAGAGGGCCCACGGAAAGCATGGGGAGATTGAGCTGTCTTACAGAGAAGGCCTCCTGCTTCCTGGCGATGTCAGTGTTTCTGTCACTCCAGTCGTAGAGAAGCTCCTCTTCCTCACAGTCATTGATCCACATGATCTCTCTGCTGGTGGCTTGGATGAGGTTCTGAAATTGACGGAGCTGATCCATTCTTTCAAAGGAGTATTTCTGCAAGGAATTCCAGAAATGAGAAGCCATGAAGACAGAAACTCCTGTGCTGGGTGGAGAAGGGGAAGCCAAGAGCACAGCATGTCCTTTTTTTTTTTTTTTAATAAAATAACAGTAAAACCAAACATCTATAAAACCTACTGGCAATGGACAGCAGATAATGTGCCTGGTTTTATAAAACTATGAAACCTGCTGTCAATGGACAGTGGACAATGTGTCTGGATTTATAGAACAATGGGAACCTGAAGTCAGCTGCTTCCGAAAGTCATTTCAAACACAAGTGTAGCAGACATGTAGGCAAGCAAGCAAAAAGACATGGGGAAAAATACAGGAAATGTCTGAACATTTAACATCATTTTTACTTGCATTTGCTGCTCATAGTACATTGTTGATGTTGTAGCAGCACCTTTTTCACAGATGACACTTAATGAAAAGATTCCTTCTCTGTCCTCAAGTCAAAATACACATCCCATTGCTCGGAATGCATTCAGGAATCAGCCTCCAATCCCAAAGGTTAAAGCTGCCATTTGCACAAGATTCTCACTGTATTTTACATGAAGATCCAAAGCAGAGAAGATGCACAGCCCTACACAGAATTTCGTTCTAATCCCACGTTTGAGTAACTTTTGAAGTTTCATATATAGACTAACTTCATCGCTACATTTACTCCCATTAAGGAGGCAGAGTCCTACTCTTCACCTGCGTAGTGACCAATTCCCTTCACCAGGTGCAAACTAGAAACTTCCTTGTGAGGGTAACTCAATTATACACCAGGTAATGAATTAATCTCAAGTTCATGACTCCAACTGAACCTTATAGAAACTGCAAAGCGCTGTCAGTTTACTGCTGAACAGAATTATTTAAATACATATCTGTCACTCTGTTGAAACCTGAAGTGTCCCTTGACTATCACACAGATGTTAATAAAGCAAAAAGAGCATTCATCATAGAGCTTATCAGACATGAACACATCTCATGCTCACCAGAAGTCCTTCATATTCTTCTTCCAGCTGATGAACCGCAGCCTTCTCCCGCTGAAATAGAGACAGCAAGTATTTAGTGAGCCTTTTAAAGTTGCCTATTTGCCAATATTTCCTTTACAGTGTCAGTATCGTAATGTTATAACTACAGGCTGTAAACTGCAAACGCCTGCAAGAGACATAGGTGAGTAGCAGATCTGCATGGCTGGAGGACCACAAAAAGTATAAAACCAAGGCTTGGACAAACTTACTTCCCTCAGGGATGCTTTCTACATAAGCAAGGTTGCACATACCCCTGTAATACCAAAACAGTTCCCGAAACTGGATCTCTTTTATACCAAACTCCTAGACAGCCATGGGGAAACAGCTAGTCCTAGAGCTAGTTTTGGAGATTATGAAGTAGTATAAACTACGATGTGAGCAGGAGATTCCAATTTTTATTCACATTTCTATGGCTGGGAACCTGCACAACCTTGGAACTGGTATTCCATAGGGCCAGACTATCACCATTCCTATTTGAAGCAGAATGGAAAAGGGAGTAACACTCCTTCCACCAGCCTGGCTGAGAGATCAGAGTTCCGGAATGGAGTGCCTTCTCTTTAGATCCAACTCTCTCTCTTCCTATCTGTGTGGGCAATTAACAGAAAAGAAGAATAGGAATGAAGTAAGCCTATTCTCTCCTATACCTAGCTGCTGGGCTGATGGGAAAGTTAACCACTGCATTTTCAGTTTTGTCTTTATTCCAATCACAATATCCAGGGGGAAACAGAAGCCTCAGAGGGGCTAAGGAAAAAAAAAAATCCACGAAAAAGCCCACACCTAAGAAAAGCTCTAAGCTTTGCCCAGAATTTTGGCATTTTTCACAGAAATTCCCTCATTACTCAATGCTGTATCTAAGCACCCACCTTATCCTTTCACTTTCTTGTTTTCATGTAACTAGACAGAAAGTAAGAATAATCATTCTTAGCCATTCTCACAAAATGTTGCAATATTTATTTGCCAGCCTTGGTACACAACAACAAAATGTTAAATAGCTACTAATTTTTCATTTTAAAATTCTGGGGAAAGAAGTGAAACACAAAATAATAATGAAATAATAAATATTAGGGTGAAAGTCATTGCTATCATGACACCAGTGCTTTCTGAAGAGAAGCTGAGCTACTTAGATTTCCTTTTTGTAGCGGAACACCGGTGAGCCAATGATGTAAATCTAGACCAAGCAACGTGTAAGGGAAGACAGTAATTACCAGATCTGTTTTGACTTTGTCCAGGTGCCAGCGATAGTCTCCAATGGCATTGTGAGTCCTCCTATGGTCACCAATTTGTTGCTCAATGGATGCTGCATCAAACCCCCATTTCACTAGCTCCATTTCAGCCTAGGAGAAAGAGACAGTATTTGTACTTTCATTTCCAACATTATCTAAATCAGACCATAAAAGAATTGAGCTGAAGGAAACATGACTATGCAGTAGAGAGTAAAACTGAACAAAGGGAAGTTCAGAATAGGGGGTTACAATTTCTTAAAATTGTCATCACTTAAACTGTGTGACAGGCTCCCAAAGTAAAAGAAACAAAGTAGGGAAAATATTTAAGTTGCTTAAAATTACACTAGATGAAGCACACTTAGTAGTGTATTTTCATCTGTTTTCTTTGGACCAAACTGTTCTTTTATATTCTACAGTATAGTTACATTCTTATCACTCTGAAAACAAATTATGACTTAATCAAACAATGCTATTCATGCAATCCATGTGAAAATCCCAGAGTCAAGTTCTGTAGCCCAGTACGCTACGTTTCCATTTTAATTATGTTCATGTAAATGCCAATAACTTCAGCTAAATGCAGTCAAATTAAATGAAAAAACAGATTATTATAGAACGTGGTTTTTGTCTTGCATTTTGGCAACATTTATTGTAGGATGCCGAGTGAAAATCTCTAGGAACAGCCTTTGAAAAACAGTAATACATCTGGATAATTACTAACTCTAAAACTACCTGACTGCAGTTCTTTGTTTCATTATTTTCACATATTAAAAGCCACTGAATTCATAATTCAGGTCCTCAAACTCCAAATCATCTTTTATGCTGTAAAGACACACTCCACCTCTGTCTGAACTCCTGTCTGCGCACGCGCACAGTAAAGAAATAGGTATCTTAATCTTGGGTTGGAACCAAATTTGGTAATTACCAGCCTGAAGCCAAATCTCTATGAGTCAACAGATGACAATAAAGCCCAAACCATGCTCAAGCATAGGGCTTCAAAGGCAGTGTTGAAAACGATCCAAGAAACAAAACCATATTGCATTCAGCCATCTAAAAGTTACAGGACTTTGACCCTTGTCATTATATTTAAACAGTCTAAAGAGTCTGCAGTGACAGCAGCAGTCCTGGCTGGCTGCCAGTACATGAACAAAGGCTGTCTGGATTTCACTACACTTTCCCTAATTCTGCACTGGAAATTTGACCGACTCTCCTATCACCTGATTCTTCTGTCAGCAAACCATCCGGACAGCAAACACAAAAACACCAGCAGAAAACCACAGCTGCTCAGACCTTTTTCCCACATCTCACCATGTTACTAGGAGAAACATTATCCTGGTCCCAATGTGAGCAGGTAATGAGACACAGCCAGGCATGGTGGGAAGAAGAGGCATGGTGGAAAGTTTTCCCTCAGAAAACTCAAAAGCCGAACAGGGAGCTAAGTGCTTACTGGTCCCACATCAGCTTTGCCTTAAGGACTGAAGAAGGGAGCGTGAGCAAGCCTTTGACTTTCACAGTTTTTGTGCGGGAACACAGTTATAAAGCGCTTGCTTATGCTCCCTGTGCTTAGCGAGGGGTGTCTGAGCAGGGTGTCACGTGGCATCTTTGGGAGGTGCAGCATGTTCGCAGTCTTTCATTACTGGAAGCGTTCCCAGTGTCTGTCCAATATCACTCCTCAAACCATGGCAGGTCTGATGATTAGCCAGCTCTCCCACAGTGTGTATAGAGCGATCATATCTGCTGTTGCTCTCCTGGCATGATGCTTATACACGTTAGCACTCAAGGAGTGCATCTCCACTTCCCCTGCTTCCTCCAAAACCTGCCACGCTATGGGAGGGCACTGAAAGACTAGACTATGACTAGCACTCATAAAAGTATGGGAACTGTACAGAGCTCTCCCCTCCTCATCTGGCTTCCATAGCAGCCACCTGGCAAACGCCATACGCAGATAACAATGACAGGGTCACTAAGAAACAGCCTAATAAAGAGAGAACAAAATAATGCAATTTCAATTTACAAGGCATCTGTAAAGTATAACTTCAGCCAACTTGTTCTGTCCTCCCTACCCATCTCTCAGAAAGGGCTGTCTACCCACAAACACACAACTTTCACTTCAGCAGCACAAAACCAGGCTACAGGCTCTCAACATGTGTTTTCTACTCCAGGTTACATCATCAACAACTGTGCACGTGCAATTTTATTCTGTGCATGCAACAGATACACACGAAAATGCTGAAGCTGGTATTTCAGCAGTGACTTCCGAAAGTCAAGTCCTGTGGCAATCAGCTCTACCTTCTGGCTCTCACTGTGATAAAGATAGATTAGAGGGGGAGAACAACTGTAAAATACCAGACAATGGTTAAATCGGTGAAGCTGGCCCTACCTGTGTAAAGGGTTAAGATAAATACGAATCATAAAGGAAACCTGCAGAAGAAAGGAAGGAAATATCAAGCATAATAATCTCTAACGCAAACATGCCAATGCCTTTTGTTGTGTTAACAGCTGTGTCTCATTTAGCTTTCAAATCTAACTTTCACACTTTTTCCTCTGTAAAAGAAGACCTCAAATTCATGTTCATATTTCAGTGGAAACTCACTACATGGACAATACCACAATTTAAAAAATAAAAAGAGGAATTTGAGATAATATACAAGCGTTCACGTGTACTCTTAATTTTCTACTGGCACCCAAAACATTACTGCACGCGAGGTGACATTCATAAACACCACCAGGTCTTAGCCTTGTCTCTGGATTTTGCACAGATTTACCTTCTGCTGCCTCATCCAGTTTAAACATTCACTTGTGACACGTTTCGTGTACTCATCCCAGCCTGAGCCACTCTGAGAGGAGTAGCAACCACCACCTTTGGAGCTGGCCCTCCTGGCACGAGGAACACTGATGGCTTTGTACAAGGCACGCATTTGCTCTTGAAGTTGAAGCAGCCTGAAAAGGAAGGAACCAGTTAGCATCTATGAGGAAAATAACCAGAAAACATGGAAACAACACAATTCATCTCTCCCACTGGACCACCAGGTATTCAAACAAAGTGCTGAAAGCACAGGCTGTGGAAAAAATATATTTAAAATTTCATAGGGACAACCAAGGTGGGAAATTCTGTAAGAAATATGTTACTGCAGTGCCCTTCTCCATGTTAGCATGCCCCAAACAAGCCCAATTGACTTCTGTCACATCCTGCAACACCAGGAAAGGTGAGCACTTGAGACACCACAAACTCATCAACCACATTCCCTCCTCAGCCCTTCCCTGGCAATACCTTTTCTGATACATTTCACAGGGTTGGCCCATCTGCCTCATCTCTCTGATCAGCCCATCCAAGATATCCATTTGGTCATTTGCCTGCGCAAAACACTCTTCCAGATCTCTGTTCCCTCTAATCTGAACACCATCCCCATATTTCAATTCCTAAAAGAAAAGAAAAAAAGAAAAAAAAAAGAGATGGGAGATTGAAGTAAATATTAATCACCTAAGCTTAAGCATGGTTGTTTTAAAAGAAATGTTATGGGGACCAATTATTTTTAAGAAGCGTGATAGGTTTCAACTGCTGGGTCTCTGATTGTCAGTTTTAACTGGCAGAAGGCCCATCGATCCAGTATCATTGGAAAGTCCTTATTACAAATAAAATATAAAAGAAAATTATTAAAACATAATAACAACCAAACCTTTCCATAAAGAACAGAACACCCTGACTGATGTTTGTTTCAGCAGAGCCAAGGCTTCACACAGTGTGCTAAGCTTTTAAGACCTTATGCTTTGGTGTTTAGAGGGCAAGAAGCAAACACACTGTCCTAGTGGGAGTTGGTAGATATTGTTCCTGATTTTTCAGAAGTTTCTCTGAGGTTCTAAGACTTACAGACATTGCTCCTGCCCTGCAAAAATGTAGACTGCACCCTCTCTACCTAGGACCAGCTCCATGCCCAGTCACATTTGCATCCCATCTTATCACCCAAAGTCTAGGCAAAGAGCCCTCCCAGTGCAGTGGATCACAGTATAGTCATGGTGCTTCGAGCAGGAAGACATAACTTTTTGATCTCATCCCACACTGACACAGCCATGCTGAACAAAACATAACCCAGCTGTGATTTGATTTGAAAATAAAATGTTGATGGACCTCATTACTTTGTCCCTCAGAAAGAAAAGAAAAAAAATAAGCAATGCATGTTGTGGCACCAAGCTGGAGCTAAACATTACTTTCTTTTAACTTCAATGGAATAATATTAATCCTTAACAAGAGGCAGTATTTACTCTGGCATTGATTTTTATATAAACATGCTCACACGTGCTGTATTTCTGAAAAGGAAATGAACTTCTAACCACAGACTTCATTCCTGAACAAATTTTATGTCCCCAGGGGGACCAGAAGTGTGCATTAAATCACATTAAATCACAGGTTTTTGGATGTCAGTGGCCTCAGCACCAGGATGCACTCACCACCCTGCACCTCCTCTGACTTCAGCTTAGGAACAGAGGACACCCCATGTTTGCCAGGACTGAATCTAGTGTCAGTGAGTAACCCGCCCCCAGGCACTATGCGTTTATATCAGTGTAGCATACAGGAAAGATCATCTCTATGCATTTGGGATGAAACAGTCAAGAAGATTTTAATATGGTTTCATACACTTCTTCAGGAATCGTCTGGAAAAATGAAATAAAGGTAATGAAAGTTTTTCCTATGGTGGTTCAGGTTCTTTATGGCCCAGAAAATGATGATGATATTCTACAGGACACACTAAGAGACTGTAAGTGGTCATAACATTATTAACAGTTGTTTACACTGACAGTGGCCTTGATCTAAAACTTAAAAATAAGATGCAGTCAAATCTGTTTGAAGGGTAGGGTTTTAAAAAAATAAATAAATCAAGAAGTCCCCATTTTCTTAATCAGACACGTGTCAATCAGTTTTACTGAACACTGAGTGCAGACAGAGGAGGGAGACCTAGGAAGGCAGTGCATTATTCCACTCCCAGTTGCCCCACACAAACAGCTGAAAGGGGAGAAAGGAGATGAAGAAGCAGAGCCTGTGAGTCCAGATAACAATGCAGCATTCATTCCCTGTAATATTCATAATCACTTTTGATAAGAAGAACAAGAAGCACTCACGGGTTGTACTATGAGCTCAGCTCGCATCAGGCAATCCGAACAGTTTTGTAAAAGCTCCTGGATGGTGTTTTGGCGTCTGGACACTGTACAGGTCCCATTTTGACTGTTGTCGGGGAGAAGAAGAAGATGAAGTTAAGTACAGAGTAATCACACATTTTGAAGAGACAAAAGAAACAGAAATTTGGAACAGCTAAGGGAAGTTACATGGAATAATCCATCTCATCTAGCGTCACAGAGACACATGCTTTATCTGGCCCTCCCGCATTATTGCGCTGTGAAGTTTTAATACCAATTCCAGAGCCACTTTATAATTCTATAATGGCAGGCATGAACTGACTTTGCCACAGGATATAGCAGAAGGTGGAAACTGGCATGCCATAAAGGAGAAAGTTCTTCCAGTACAGGTATTTGTACCTTTGATAGACAAAACTTTGGCACCATTACAGTGAGAATGAATTATTCACAATCCTTGTTAAAGTCAATACATTAGAAAATAGCCTTTGCATTGTATGTGTTATCACACCAGCCATCAAATGTCAGGGCATAAAAGGAAAGCAGGATCCTCTGCTCCACAAGTGCATGAGCACACACATCCATACAAGCGTACAAAGAGCCCTTTTATCAGCAGAAAGGCATGAAGCTAGTGCAGCGTCTTAAGAAGGAACTGAAAGATGCACAAGCCTCTACAAAAACAGATGTAGGCCCTGGAGTTAGAGAACATGCTTTTTTACAAATAAATGAAGTGGGAGCTTGGGGGTTCCAAGTAAAACTCCAGAACAAAAAACACTAGTGGGGGAAAAAGCCAAGATAGATAATGGGGTCATTACTGTCTTGCACATAATCTACTGCATCCATACCGCCAGAAGGTTGCTTTTCCAGCACTTGGGATTCAGCCACCAAAGCAAGCTGCTGCTAGTTGAATGTGGGTGAGGTGCTTCAAGCAAGGAATCATTCCTTGCTGATGGAATCAGAGCTGCCAAGCAAGCCCAGGCAGCTCCCAAACCAAAGCACTTGCCAGTGAAACTAAAATAAACCACTACTAAGAGACAGTAAGAAACTGAGACGCTTCCAAGCCTTGCCCAGTTTTCAAACTCATGTGCTCGCAGTAGGTAACCTTTTCCATTACAAATCACTGAAGGCCTAAACCTTCCATACCACACTAACGTCAAAAAGACTATCGGTGCAAACCTCTCCAGCTCAGAGCCAGCAAGTCATATGGATTCAATGGAAGTCTTTCCACTGGCTTCAACAGTGTCTGACCACCCTTCTCAAAAGGAATTGTGACAATGTGAAAAACCTGACAGAGCTGCCTTTGGAAAAATCACCGCAGTGGTGAGAAATGTTCAATGTCATATTTTTAAGAGCCCTTCTGCAATATGTGCAGCTGGTGCTTCAGCAGCCTGCTATTCTCCTATTAGCTCTTCTTGAACAAGTGGAAAAAGTTTGAGCAACTTTTCACCAGCTTCTCTCAATACCAGGGCGTAGACTCTCAAACACAGAGACAGGACTGGAGAATCACTGGGTGACTTAAAACAAGCTGTACACATGCAACTCCTGCCCTGCACTGTGACCCCTTGGCTGCACAAATGCTATGACCTACTGTGCTATGCACCCCTGTATATCTTGGAAACATCTTAAAGAAAACAACTGTAAAAAATAACGTATGGGTCTGATTTTGTGCCAGGCTTCCCGTCAGCTTCCTTTTCAAAATCATTCCTTCTCCTTAGGCATCTCTGTTGTGTTTGGATCTAGAAGTATCTGACTGCATCTAAAATTTACATTTAATTATACCCACAATTATTTTCATGACTGAAACATAATAAAGGAGAGGAACCTTCCAAGCAATTTTCTCTTTTTAGAACATCAGAAGAGTACCTTTTCTTCAATTGCTTTTTCAATCATCTCCTGACAGCTATAAATGCCGGATATCCATTAAAGCCAAAAGAACTATAGAGGGGGACCACAATTCTACTGTAATAACTCGGTGTATCTCCACTGGCTTAAGTGTAACTTCAATGACCTCAAAGGCATTACTTCACTCTGAGAAGAGGTCTAAACGATGACTGTCATAGTTAACACACTAAGAAATTGTGATGAAAAGCTATTTTCAAATAAATCAAAAACTATTTAAAAGATACAAAAAGTAGAACTACAGGTATTTTGTGTTCATCCGATGATGTTAGACTACCACATCCAGAATTATTGTCCAAATAAAAAAAGTTGGAAAACTGAAGATGGTTTAGTATAGATGCACAGAACTGTTTCAAAGGCAGGAACAGTTGCCTTAAAGTGGGAGGCGTAAGCACACCCTATTTAGACCTTCAAATGAAGATCTACAAGCTACTTTTTTTACAGTTCACGGGGACCTGCACAAGAAGAAAGCAGCAAGCATTTAAGACTCTCCAATCTAGTAGATCAAGACATAACCAAAATAATGGCAGAATCCAAAGCAATACAAACTGAAACCAAAAAAGAGCACACTACTTTATCAATGCTGCTTTTCACACCTTGGATGTCAGTTTTGTTGTTAAACAACTAACTGTTTTGCTAGTCAAAATCCTGAGATCAATACTAGGATAATGGGCGAAAAGGTAGTGGCCTGTTAAAGGCAGCTGATGACACTGGGTGAGCTAATGGCTTTCAAATCCATCAGCTGACCAAACAGAGCTACACCAGGTTACAGAGCATACCCAGAGACAACAGGTGCCAGTACAGGAGCTCACGTTTGATGGCATAGCTCCACCAAGTCAACAGGACTCAAAAGACTTCATATCCGAAGAGGATTTAGTTGTACAAACATACTCAAGAAGGGCATAAATCAACCTCTGAACTTAGAAAATAAAAATACTTAGCAAGACAATACCTCAACATATATTGGTTGATATATCAGATGGCACTAGCACTATCTCATATGGACGCATCTTCAATACTTTTCACCCCTGTGAAAGGAGAGTACCTCATAAGCACTTTCAAAGGCCCTCATTGTAATATTCCTCTCATTAAAGCCAACAGGCCTTTAATGGAAACAAGTAGATCAAAGCAGAAACCCCAATGCAGAGTAAGCAGACATCCAACCTTGAGGCAGAAGGAAACAGCCAGCCAAAGGAAAAACCAACACATATCCAACACAGTGGCATAAGGAAAAAAAAAAAAATGGACTAAAGAAACCGAGGCAAACCCTAACCCCTGGAACATGCTACACAGCATCGCAACGTGGAGGCAAGAACAAAGCTGGATTTTCAAAGTACAACCATATAACCTAAGTCATATATAAAAACACATTTATATCCCTCAGAAAGATGTAAGACCCTGACAAGCCTCACAGGACACAGATTAAGTGGAGTACAACAGATGGTATTTTGTCAATGTTACTCTTGCTTCATCTGATTTTGTTTACATGAAACTGAATGAGTCTAAAGTAATGTTTGGTCATTGTAACAACTACTACAATTTGATTTAACTCTGGCAGCATCTAAAGCTCGAAACTGTGAATAGGATCACGCTGCACAAAACACTGTAAGCACACCACACAGTGAAAATATGGACAGGTTTTTCACTTGCTTTACTGCACCCCTGTAAACACAGTGTACATTTTCAACCATTCCAGCAGAAAGGGAAAGAACTGGAGCTTGGTCTTTTAGCAGGACTTGTAACACAAGAGTGCAGGGACTCCTGTCACTAATAAATACACAGATTCACAAGAATCCAACTATTTGCTGTACTGCTTTGTTTTTGTAAACCCTGAAGAACAGTGCTGAGTGAAACAGCCTGGACTGCTTCAAACCTTAACTGCCTATTTGTCCCTACAACTCAAAATTTTAGACCGTGACACTTATTTGGAAGGCAACTCATGAATTTCAAAAAGATGCTATTAAACTGAGTTCTTTATTAAAATGACTTAGTTTTAATAATCATTAACTATTAAAGGAACAAAGGAAAACAAAGGTGGCTAGCGTCTTTGTTTTAAAATTATGAGAAAACTTCAAAACACAGAAGAATCACTTTTATTTGGGACTTTAAAATGCAGCCCTGTATTTCTCTACTGCCAGAAGAACCCTAGGAAAGGCACAGCACCTTCGTGTTGTCGTCATTCTGTACAGGAGCCACCCTGCTTGCTGCATGTCAAGGCAGAATAGATTGCTCCCTTGCTATACTGCGCTCTTGCTCTCCCAGAGAGATGAGAGGCAGCCCAACCCTGGCTGCCACTGGTCTTTGGGCAGGATGGTAGCTCAGACAACATATCCTTGCTGCAATACACCCCACCTCAGCTAAACTCAGCTGTTACCTTACTGGTGAATCCTCGATTTCTGAACTTGGATTGCACTTAACTGTAAAGCAGTACCAGTGATCCTCACGAGACCCCCTGCTGTACAGAAACAAGGAATAACTACTCCTGCTTTTCATAAACGGGACTGAGAAACGCTCTCAAGGCCACACAATGAGTTATGAGAGTTGAGACAGACATGGCAAACCCAGTTGTGGCCACGTCCCTGGAACACAGCAGGGCTGACTGCTGCTGCTACTGACTTACTCAAGCAGTCGAAAGATTTCCTAAGTGATACATTTTGAATAAATGATATATCCTCTGTAAACACTCCGCTTGCACCCTTACAGGCCAAACCGAGTTGTCATTACCGAGGAACCTGAGGGGCAAGGAAGAAAGCCAGCTCCCTTCTGCTTTCTCATTTGCCTCCTGCTGCTGAAGACCTGTACACCCCCAGCATAAATGCCTGATACGTGGAGATTGCTCTGGTTTCTGCCTTTGTTAGTACACATCAAGAGGCTGCTGTGTTATCAGGGGGGCGATTAGCATCTAGAGAAGCAGGGCAAAGGAAACGAAAAAACACATCCAGCAGCTCTGCAGAGCCTTCCAGCAGCTTCACAGCTCCTTAAAGCTTTGGAAGCATAGACGGGACACTCTTGGCCCAAAGGTCCGATTTAGACAAAATCAGAATGATCCTTGTTGAATTTTCTGATTCTTCCACAAAACATTCAGCCTTTTACAAATTCAAAGATTTTTTTTTTCATTCAAAAAGTAAAGGAAGCTTTGAAAAGCTCTACTTGCAGGTCTAAAGTATTGAGCGACTCCCATAACT